TGTACCTTGCTATGCGGCGCCACGAAAGAACGACCGACAGATGATAGAGCAGGACTTCAGCCACAAGAGGCCTCCACAAGAAAGCCCGACGCTGAAACCCAAGGGCCTGATGGATTCAAAGAATGACGGGCTTTCCCATTGCAAACTGTTTAGAACCTGGAAACCAATTATGTCATACGCGTCCCCCTGCAAGGCAGCAAGAATGTAAGGGCGAGTTGATGACCTAGAAAACGACGGGAGGTGACACCAACAAGGCGGCGATCACGATCGCGCCTGCGACATTCAAAGCAGAAGGCAACAGATGAAGATCCTGGGGGTGAAACAAACAAAAAACAAACAAATAAACAAAAAAAAATGTTGGGTGGTGGGACGAGGCGGGGCAGAAAAGGAGCAAACAACAAGAAAATTAACACTGCTATACGAGATGGTCGAACGGAACATGTATTCGACGCGACCGCAAAGGCGAAAAGAAAGACGGAAGCGCCACACCCGAGACGCAGAAGTTCGAACGTGATGGGCGAAGCTAAAAGGGCAACCAAATTATGGCAGGTTTCCGCCGCGATGATGTTGGCGGTGGTTTCGGGCACCCAGTGAATCACTAAACCTTGAACGATCGATAACAAAGATCGTCGCACACTCTCATTCCAGCCCACTGACGGTGTTCGACCTTACACGCCCCCGCTTAGATCTCCGCCGCGTCAACGCGGCGCGAACCCGCCGCTACGGATCACGAATCTTCAGGGCGTCCCCCCTGGAATCCCCGCGGGGCCGTCGGAAGCGGACCCTGCTCCGTTGAAGCTCGACTCCACGTCTTGCCGAGCCACCCCACGCCGCCCCCCGAAGGGACAGTGGACTCTCGCCGCAGCGCGCGCAAGGGAAAGAGGCATCGGCTTCGGAGGGCTCACTTGATCGGGAACTCGGATCGGGTCGGAACTTGCGTCGGACCAGGCCGCGTCGGCACGGAAGATCGGAATCGAGTCAGGTTGGCCGCGCCGGGCTGCACGACAGCGCCGCGCGAGCACTGGGCCGAATACGGGAACCGAATCGGACGAGGAGGGAGGTTGGAGCGCCTGGCAGGCGTGTGGCCATGAGAACTCTGCTGCTGCCGAGGCGCCATGCGGCGACCTCGACCCTGGGGACTCCCACCAGCCCTCTAGGCGCAGGTGGTTTAGCCCGTTTCCTCCCCCAACCCATTTTACCCCTCCACCTACCCAACGCCCCAAGACTCCCCCAATCGCCTAACCCTGCTGGGGAGACGCGCTGGTCTGCTGTGCTGATTTCGTTGCTCAAGGGTGCTATCGTCCTCGTCGTCGTCTCTATGCTCGTCGTCAAATCCTCTCCTCTCCTTCCTGCCTGCCTCCTCCTGTCGTCCAGCGCGCTGCGCAGTTGGGCTACGTAGCATTCCGTTGATGTGAGGATCGAGGGGAACTCTTGGGACTCTACGGAAGCTTTTGTAAAATCGTCTTGGGGACCCTTTGGGTGTCCCGTGAACTGTTTGGGAGCTCTCTTGGCGCCTCTTGGGCCCTCTGAAGACCTCCTGTTGCTGTCGTGGGGCCAAATGAGCGCTGGGGACGCTGGCACATGTTGGCGGTTTCGCCGGGATTGGGACCCCTCTTGGGGCCCGTCTTGGGGCCCGCTTTGGGAATTTTGAGAGCTGTACAGGTTTGGACCCGCCTTGGGGCCCTCCTGGAGAAGTTTTGAAAGCCCCTGGCCATCCAGGACCCTCGCTTGGGCCGTCTTGAAACAATCATCAGGCCGCATGACCCCATTGGGAGTAAAGAAGCGACTAAGGCCCAAATCATGGAACAATACATCTGGTTTCAAAGATTTTGCTACATCCGCGGGGACACGTCTGGAGGAGCTCCGTGGCCACCTGAGCCCGCCGAGTGGCGGTCTGGAGTCCTCTTGGACGCCTGACGGAGGCCCTCTGGGACCATCTTGGGAAATCTTCCTCCATTTTCGAGCCCATATTGGAAGCCGTCTCGCCTGTGCCATGCCTTGCAGAGGCAATGTGAACGCAGCGTACGCCAGTCCCGTAGAGCAACGAATGATTGTTCTCCAAACCATGTTTGCCACTAGGGGTTCTTACTTGGTCTGTAAGGGATTTGGCCCGGGTGTCGGTCCGCCCGCCTTGTTGTCGCCGTCGCCGCCCGTTGCCTCCCGTCCGTCGCCGCTACTTCTACGATGAGGTGTCGGTCGCCGCGCTTGCTGTCGCCGTCGCCGCCCGCCGCCGCCGTCCGGCCGTCGCCGCCCGTTGCACTGCATTCGCATTGCATCGCAATCAATCGCGGTACACTGCACTACTGCGTTGCAATCGTTTTGCATCGCTTTGCCTTGCTTTGCATCGTGTTGCATTGTCTTGTTCTGATCTGCATGTTTCTGCATTGCGTTGCATGGCAATCCATTGTTTTGCTCTGCTTTCCATCAGGTTACATTGCTTGAATTGCGTTGCATCGCCTTGCATTGCCTTGCATTGCCTTGCATTGCGTTGGAATGGTTTGCATTGCTTTGTACCACATAGATTGCACCACGTGTTCTGCACCACCTAGATTGCACCGCATTGATTGCATCAAATAGGTTGCATCAAATGTAGTGCACTGCATCTGTTGCAAGAAATGACTGTTTGAGGTCCACGCTGGCTAACATTCAATGATTTCCAGCTCCCAAGGGTAGATGGGCTTTACTAGCTTGTCAACAACTTGAAAGGATCTGGGTGGGTCCCTCTGGAGGCCGTTCTGGAAAGGTCTGGGGGCCTCTGGGGGGCCTCTGGAGCCGTCTTGGGCTCCTCATGGGCCCTGCTGGGGCCTGTCTTCGGCCGTCCTGCGACCATCCAGAGGCCTGAAGAGCCCGTCGGAAGCAGGGAAGCGAAAAAAAACAATCAATGGAAAAAAACTCGTGTTGTTCGCAAGATGTTTGTCTCTCCAGACCAATGAGATGTTCGTGCCCTCGTCGGACCGCTCCCGTGACGCTCTGGATGCCTCAGCGCACCAGCACCGCTATCCTATGTCACCATACTGGACCATATGCTGTATGCACAATACACCTCTTGCCTTGCCCGCCTTACGAACGCCCATGCTGCCCGTGTTCGGCCTCACCAGCGCCGTCTTGGACGCGCCACACGCTGGTGTGGCGCGTCCTGAGGGCGACTGGAAGGATTCATCCGCTCCGTCAAGGCAAGTCCCCACCCCCGGGTCTGTAATGATGCGGGAGGGTGGAGGTCAGAGGGTCTCTGCTGGCCCAGAACGGCTCCAAGAGGGCCTCAAGAGCTCTGGATGACCTCCAAAACGGCTTGAGATGTCGCAGATGGCTTTGAGGGGAATCCAGGATGCTACCAAGAGGCCCCAAGAATGCTCCAAGACAGCTCCAAGACGGCCTCAAGTGGCCACGGAGCTTCCCAAGAACGCTCCCGAGAAGGCCAAAAATCCTTCAAAATCCGCAGGAAACAGAAATGTGTGCCTTCTCGCACGTTCGCTCGCCATGAGTTTTGGAAGCCTGAAGATGGCTCCAAGGGGACCTGAGAGAGCCCCAAGAGAGGCCCAAGAGCGCTCCAAGAGTGCTCCAAGAGACAGCTGTGGGAGCTCCTGAGGAGAGGAAGGGGTGGCGCTAACTAAGGACGCATAGTTCTTGTTGATCGACATCCTCGAAGATGGCCCAAAGAGGTCCTCAATTGCTTCCAAGAGGGCCCCAAGGAGGTCTCAAGAGAACCCCAAAGGCTCTCAAATGGCTCCAAGACGGCCCCAAGAGCACCCAACAGCGCTTCAAAATAGTTCAAAAGGTAGCCGCTTGAGCCCGAGAGGGGCAATCCTAATCCGGGCCGCCCCCTTGTTTGAAGGATGTCCTCCAAGATGGCGTCACGATGGTTTCCAATACACCCGAGAGGATCTCAATATCAAAAAATCCCAACATGCCTCCAGGAGACCTCAAGACAGCCCAAAGGCGGCTTCGGGCGCCAACGGAGCCTCTCAAGGACGCCATTGAGAGAGGCCAACAGTCATCTAATCAAGGCAGTTCGCCTGAACATCACTTCTGCATGGGCTGGCAGGGAAACGCGAAGCTTCCAAATTCTGTTGCGTGAAAGACGGCCCCAACCAACATCCGGGCTGCCTGGCGTGAGAACGGAGTGGGTTGGGCCAGCTTGAAGGAGGAAGCACATAGCATCAAATGCAGAAAGAACGAGAAGGGAGGAGGAGGAACTCGGAACTCGGAACTCGGATATCCTCGAAAGTCCGCCAGGGGCGGCACTGCAGGGGGTGTGCAGGACGCGAAACTGCCTGCAGACCGAGGAGGAGGAGGAGCACCAAGGAGGGACGTGAGGAGAGCCGTGGTCCCTGTGTCACGCTCCCGCGGGAGAGCAGCGGGAGCGTCGGCACAGGCACCATGTGGCTCATCCCGTCGGCACCACCAAAGCGAGGAGCATCTCAACATCCTGGGCACCTACAGGGATCGAAGAGCTACACAGACCCGCCCCCAGAGCACGAAAAAGCCCCCAGGAGGCCACCCCCGAGGCCTCCGGTCCCCAGAAGCACCGCAACAGCAGTGGATGAAGAGGAGGACGACCCAGCAGCAACTACACGCAGACAGCGTCATGCTAAGCGGCGAACAACAATTTCAAAATCGGAGGTAGTGCATCACCGCTTCTGTGGGCTGGCGAAACGGCGAAAGCATCTTGAGCCGAACAGCTACACAGACCCACCTTCTTCCTCGTCCCTCCTCGCTCCTCATCTGCATGGATTCCCTTCTTCCTTGGCAGGGGGGAGGAACGAGGTGGATCTGTATAGTTGTCCTCCTGCGACCCTCTGGGCTGCAAGACTGACATTTTTGGAGGGGGGGCAGCGTTTCCACGGGGCCGCGGAACGCAAGGAGGCCTTGTCTGGGAAGGAAATTCATTGCATGCACGGATCTCACCATGATGATGAGAACGACGCCGACAACGAACACGACGATGATTTCTGCCACGACCACGACAAGGACGAAGACTGCGACGGTGATAGCTTGTGGATGCGATCGATTATTGGGCGCCCCTGGCGATCTTTCATACCAAAAGCAATGACGAGGGCACGTGCGGTGGGTGTGACCGGTCGCCCTCGGTCCAACAGCTGCCACCACAGCGCGCCAAGACCTCCGCCATGGGCGGTCCCACATATTCTGCGCTCAGTGGCGCGCCACAGAGAGCGGAGCCTGGCGCTGTCCTGCATGCCAAGCCGAAGGTCTGATCCCTGGGCGTCTCGATCACGGCTCCGAGGGATGGATTCCATGTCCCGTCCTCGAACATTTCGAAGACCAGCTCTGCGATCCAAGGGGCTTTCGCTTTCATCTCACTGCGGGAGCGGTATGGAAATTCTCGCGGATCTGCTGGAAAACCGTTCCAGAGCATGTGCGCCTTCACAATGAACTCGTACGCCACGCACCTGAGTGCTGAGCATCGTTTCACCGATCCCTATCCCAACCAGCGCGGCCTGGGCCCCACTGGCCGATTCACCCCCCTGGTAGGCATACAGGCTGTCCCCTTCGGGTTTCGAGGGGCGTGGGCAGAGTGGCAGCTATACAGCGTGCACTCACCCAGACCCCGTGCGCGGGGGGGCGTAAAGGTGGGGTATGGGCAGAGGTGGGGTCTGGGGGGAAATCGCTCCACACGGCGCCTGGAAGGAGGAAATGTGAGCATCAAGCTGAGTCCGTTCCCCCCCCCCTGGGATGACGTTCCCTCTGCGGTCCCCCGCCTGCTGTTGCAGAAGATGCCAGCCAGGACAGCAGGCGATGTGCTTTTCTCCATGGGCGGCCCTACAAATTCCGACCCCCTCCCCCAAAGGCCGGCTGTTCGCCACAAATACGTGTTCGATGGTCCCAGGCCTCGATAACGGACCCCTGGGGCCGAGATCGAGGAAAACGCCCCGATCGAAAAAAAATACCGACGGAGTTCTGGGACGCTGGAGTTTCTGGCCAGCAGTCACCTCGTAAAGTCATCGTTGCAGCCGTCGTCTCTGGCCCCAGGGTGGTGCACGTAGAGGCCTTCTCGGACCGCCCGCGCTGCGGCACGCTCGATCCTCAGGAAGAGCGGCCGTGCGACGTCCTCGGTTGAGAAGCTGACTTCCCATCAGATCATATAGGAGGCCAGTCGAAACAACGGCGGCCCTCCCTGGCGTTCCTCCTCCTTTCTTAGCCTCCTGCAGGCTTCTGGTCGCCACGGCTGGATTTGCCAGAAAGCGGCCATTACGAGCCCGAAGCGGTCCAGGGACCGATTTTGAGCGGAAGTGCGCCAGGCGGGAGAGCCGCCGTTGTCTCAACTGGCCCTCCTCCGAACATACCTCCTGGGGAGCTCCCGCCACGACGACAAGACCCCCGAGACCCTCCCAGGAAAAAAAGAATACGAACGGCATCAAAAAAAACGGCAACAAAACGTTCAAGAAAGCACGCTTCGGCAAGCGGGCGGTAGGGCACATGGCTGAAGTCTTCATGCATTCGATGTTTTGGGCAGGAGGGGGGCCTGGCTCCCCCCGCCTCCCCCAGAAAAGCAGGAGGTCCGTGTGGGGCGCCAAGCCGCCCCCGGTGAACCAGGGGAGCGTCAGGGCGTGCGCTCCTCCTCCTCCTCCTCCTCCTCCTACTCTACTCCTCCTCATCATCCTCATCCTCAGCCTCATCCTCATCCTCATCCTCGTCCTCATCCTCATCCTCCTCATCCCCATCCTCATCCCTCCTCCTCCTCCTCCTCCTCCTCCTCCTCCTCCTCCTCCTCATCCTCCCCCTGTCCTGGATTCCGACGTCGTGGATGGAGTGGAAGAACTCGTGCGCGACGACGTTCGTGCCACAGAAGGAGTCGCGCACGGTGCCGTCGGCCTCCAGGTACGGAATGCCGTACTCCTCGGTGAAGCTGGTGGGCATCGACAACCCGCCACCGCCGCCGCCCTCCACACACTGCGGCACTTCGGGGTGGTAACTCGTATCTCTTCCAGCTCGGGAATCTATGTTACAAGAAGCCAGAACGACTTAAACATAACCCTTGGAAGTTCCGCACTGAGTTCTTGGATCCACGTTGGGCTCCCCTGGCGCGTTCCGCCCGCCGAAGAGGGGGTCCAGCGTAGATCCAACGAATCCGCACGTGCATCCGAAAGTTTATCTTTACGCCGTGGTTGCTCCTCTATATGTGGGAATGACAATCGAAAAATGGATCAATCGTCTTACAGAGCTCACACGTGTCGAGCCTGCGCTCGGCGTCGGGCCAGACAGCGAAGCGCTGCGCATGCTGCACCATCGACCGGCGAAGGCCTGGCAATTTGCCGTCGATCTGCCTGAGCATTTCGGCAATCGTCTCTCCCGCCTTCAACATGGCTGCGTCTGGAGCGTTCTTAGAGCCCAGCACGGGGATGCCTTCCGCCACTGAACAGTCCTCTGACCGGGCAAGCAAATACTTTGTATAGAAGGGATGGGGTTTTCTGCACCCCGGTAATCCTGTGGTGGGCATGAAATGGCCCACCCCAGCTGAATCGTGATCAAGGCCATCGCTGAAGAAAACTTTTGGACGGCTATAGAGACTGGCGTTCCGCCAAGGGCTTAATCCTTGAACGAGCATAACATCCTCGGGCCAGCTCGGGCAAATAACACCAGCCGCATCCATTGAGGGAGGCTCGCGGATTCGAGCAAGTGAGCCCGCGCCAGTGTCGACAAGAGGCACTACGGGCATTATCGCACAGCAATCGTGCACTAGGGAAGCATTCACGATGTGCCGACCATCGGACGTGACGGTGTAATTTACGGTGTATGCGTTGTCGGAGGGGTATGTACACTGCCGCGTTGCGTTGCAAGAGTCGGACAATCGAAACAAAGCGAAGACTAAAAAAATACTCCACATGGCGAAGACAAGTCTGTGCTATAATACACTCGGGAAGGCCACAACAATTGGAAAGAAAGCCAACATGTCCACGGATAGCGACGACGATATTACTATGACGTTACACGACAATCGTGCCGAACAAATGTTTCGCGACAAACCTTCACTCGGGTGTCCCCCGACAACTCCATAGTGGTGGCCCAGTCGACCACATGTTCTTGACTGCTCGGATTCGGAGCCGTCTCATATTATGGGATCCGCCTGATGCCAACTCACGTTTGGGAAAATATGTCGCCAAAATTCGCCTGCCCTTTGGGGGACGCAAAAGCTGTGAGATTGTGCAACCACACGGCCGTGTGGTTTTACGATGGATAGTGCGGATTGCCTCTTGCGTATCCTGTCCGCACTCCGTTGGACTGTCTAACACAGGGAACGACACGAAGCAAAAACAATTCCAAGGATGCCCTGACCCATGCTCTGGTTCAATAATATTACACTCAATCATACTCAGACCCATTCACACACAGGCATCCGCAACACGCTGGTTCATACTCACACTCACTCTCACCCATCGGAGTGAAGGGGTCGAACGGTCATTGATTGTCCCTGGGTGCGTAGCTGAAGTGTGATTCCGCTGTTCGGCGTATGTTCGTTGTTTGATGTTGTTTGTTGCTGTTATGATTGTTGTTGTTGTCGTCATCGTCGTCGGTGCCGACAATCTTCAAAAAACCGACCCCAAGTAACCACGTTGCCCGCCCTGGCGGGGTCGGTCAACTAGCTCCACCCCGCGCCGGAATTCCTCTAGCTCATCGTTCCGAAGAGCTCTGCGAGGCAAACCCAAACTTGGCGCCGGCGGTATACCGTCAACCAAGTTTTTTTTGGGGAGGAGCGCGTCAGGCTCCAGAAAGCCTAACCAAGCGTAGTCCCCAGAGAGCGGCCCAGCACTCCTCGAGCCGCAAGAAGCGAAAAACCTCCTCCGCGGCCTCTAGGAGGCCCTCAAGCGCAGAGAGCTCAGCATTGGTGATAATGCAATGCGCGGCAGCGTGGAGGCACATTCTCCGACATCACGCCAGAGGTCTGCGGATACTTGCACAACACACGCGCACGCTTCCTCAACTGCTCATGGTAAGGGAGGGAGACCGTGATGGACAGGATCGAACCCAATTTGCAACCACCATCCCACGCCAACTCCAGACGCATCAACTCCGCCGTCAAAGTTACCGCGGAGGCCAATCAAATGAAAGTAAGCCTATTCATCAGGTGGATATCAGGTGGATATGCCGCATAGAAGTCGAGATATTGAAAACACTTCCCTTCCCTAGCTCCGTGCGTAAGTTCATCCGCCCGAGCGTTTCCCTCCCGAAATTCATGTTTGACAAAATCCGACCCCCTGGAACTCGGTCGAATCCAGCGCATGGAAAGCGCCTCGAGACGAGTAACGACACGATCATCACGAGTCCGATACCGATGGCCATCACCGCGAGCCCCTCCCCCGACCTTCCAGACACCAGGACACCCAATTGCATGCCAGAAGAGAATCGCGAAACTCCATCCCCACCCCATCTTCACAAATATCCCAAACAGTGCAGCGTTTGAAGAAAGAGGCCAGACGCACGGCTCTCCTGGTGCATTCTGCTTCCGACAGTGGCCGAGCACACATCTCCTCGCATCCCTCCTTCACCTCCTCCTGCCCATGCCCCCCACCACGTCGACCCGGTAATAGAAAGTACTCGAAGGCCGAGCTCACACGGCAGTGCCGAAGATAATCACGTCCACAGCTCACAAAGGACGCTTGGGAAAAATCGCATGCCTTCCACCAGTCGTGATGGCCAATCTGATACATAACTTCGAACATGTGATACCACGGGCACTCGCCCGCTGCAACTCCTCCCGCCCTCCTCCGTTAAGTGTAGACGCATCCCTCCAACTCCCCATGGGTCTCGCGGCCACGCTCGCCCCTGTTCGGAGAGACCCCCAGCGAGGACAACAGCACATAAGCAGCATCTGGCATCCCGGGGAGCCCGACTGCCAACAGACTGCTCACCTGGCCCAGGACAACATGTACTCCGTCGTTTCTGCCCAACGCCAGCAGAGACGCAAAGGATGTAAGATGCGACATCGCGGCCAAACTGCCACAATCTCGTCAGCACACGCCGCACCGCAGACTGGAAATGACACAGATGGAACTTCCCCCTCACAAAATGCATATGGGCTGGCTTCCAGATATTCCAAGAGACGCCGTCGGGCTTCCGTGACACCGCCATACGGCACAAACATCGACCCTCCAACACGTTTGGGCGATACAACGAAGCCGCATCCCAGGTCGCACCTTCAGTGCCGCATATCAGAACAGACTGGACAAGAGATACATAGCGCCTGGACTTACTCTTCCAAGAGACTGCACCAGCATGAAAATACCAGCGTCAACCAGGTTTTTGCGTTTGCGCGGGCGCGGAGGGCTTCACAGAAGCCAGCACTTGCAGATCAGGCCGAAACTACACCGACAGCTCCAGCAAAACCTAAAGACTGCACGGAAACATGTCGGCGGCTTGGAGCAAGCCCTCGAGTCCAGACAATTCGGCGCGAGCGATGGTGCATTCGGAAGGGGGCGCGCGGGCCACCACGGCGACGTCCCTCCAAACGAATGGGTCGCAGTGAGGCGCGCGGCGCGGGGCGGAGCTAGTTGGCCCACCCGGCCCAGGCGGACAATGTGGTAACTTGGGGTCGGTTTTGGGAAGATTCTGAAAGGTTTGACCATTCGATTTGAAAATCCCGATTTTTATTCCCTGCAGTCGATCATGGCTCGCTTCATGGTGCAATTCTCAGGGCTGAAGCTGCAGAACAACTCTCGGAAATTAGGAGCAACATTCGACCGTCGGGATGCATTCTTCCAAATGATAATGGCTTCGTGAACTTAACTCAGGCAGTAAGCAAGCTACACAGCTGCAGTATTTTCTGCGCCTGCAGTCCGTTCTGACGCGCCGGCCTGTCGAATTCTCAGGTCCGTAGCTGTAATATTTCTATGAAAACACTCGGCGGAACCAACTTCGCATAAAACCGAGAAAACCTATGTTTTGAAAGTTTAAGATGGTAGTTAAGGAAGCTTTCTTGTCGCACTATGCGCACTACGTCGCGCATCAAGAGCTCTACAAGGGTCCCGGCAGCAACCTAGTTAGTTGACGGTTTACCGCCGGCTCCCAGCGAGGAGAAAGCTTCCTCGAAACTCAGCTGCAAAACTTGCAGAATGTATTGAATGGGTTCTGTACGAAGTCGGTTCCTCCAAGTGTTTCGATAGTAGCACTGCTGCTACAGACCTGAGAACTTGACAGGCAGAGGGAAATAACCCACTACAGGTGCGAAAAATACTGGTTCTCAAAACGAATGGTCAAATCTCTCACAACTGGAAGCCGGCGCTACACCGCCAGCCTTGGTTCTGCGGCTCTGCGCAGGCCCATGTGAGCTCCCACGGGAGCAGGCCAGGACACCGAGGAACGAGACCTAACAGCGAAGCTGTACAGTTAGCAGGGAAGCTGAAAGATAAAACAACGGAGCTGTGAGATGAGCCACGCGTGCACTATCTACATATAAGTGTGCGCAAATCAGACACACCCACCAATAAGCAATAAGCTCTGTGATGCAGCAAATTCGGCCTGAGTGACTGCGCAGTGGGAAGGAAGCATAAAAGGCCCGCCCGGCAACACCAGGATGCCATCTATTGGAAGAAAGCCCAGGGGGAGAGGAGGAGAGAGGCAAGTTAAAGGAGAAAAAAAAATCTGCCACCCAACCACATGACGTGCCTAACTCTCATATGCCGCCACCAAAGGAACCCTTTCACCGCACGTACACTATAATGACCCGAACGTATAAGCTGTAATAGATTATGGTCCCACCAAACATCAGATGTTGTATGCCGTTCTCTGGCAAGGAGTGACTGGTCCGCCTGCTCGCTGCCCTCCCGGTATACCCACTTCCAGATATCACGGCCCGCTTCTGGACTGAATATGTTTCACCGCTTACATAATGAGTACAACTGGTTCTGCATACTGGCGATGGTGCGCGCATACACTTCATTCAAGCAGTTGTATCGGCCCGTCAACCATCTAGTCACACATTGACTGTCCCCCCACAGTTCCATACATAACCAATCTGAATTAATCAGCCATCGTGTCTCATCCGAGAACAAAGCCACCAATATTTTAGCTTGACGGTCGAGTTCGTTCTGTGATTGTGCAGCAGCACTTTCCTCCTCCTCCTCCTTCCGATGAGCACCCGAAGCAGCGTCTATGATCAAACAGAACTAAAATTTTGGTCAACTTAAGTTGCCTAGGCGTATCGACTAAAAATGACTTCCAACCCTGCTCCGCCCAACACATACTCTGGTCTCAATGCGGCCCCTGTGTGATCTCAAACAAATGAACCAAGGATAAAGACCCTGAACGACACGATGCTGGCGCCGACGAGCATAGGCACGGTCCGTGTTCAGTATACTCACCCGACGCGTGGAGCATGCATAACGCGCTCTGCATTGAGGGAGTAGGCCACGCCCTAGTGTAGTCATGCCGTGCACGCTGACAGGCTGGCTGAGAAACGGGTGGAGGTTCCGCAGATAGCGCCCCGTCACGACGCTGGCGCACAACACGTGTCATATCACTTATCTGTTGACGACGAATGCCAGCAGGTGCAGAAGCAGAGGGAACACTTTCCACGGGCGTGCTGCACAAGATGTCAGGCTCCACAGGTTCTTGATATAAAATACCCTGGCTGAGATCATCGCGTACAGGTCTTCCTAGATTACCGCGCGCCGCACACACAACATGCCTTGCAAACATACATTGCCGAAACAGAGTAAGTTGCACCAGCGATGGCCAGGAAGCATTGAGCAATGACATTCGTGCATGACGGATACGGGTACTCCAATAGTCAGCCCACGTCTCAGTGGGCCTCTTACGACGACGGCATATGGCTGAAAGTATTTTTACCCTCCTCCACATGTATCAGAGTCAAACTATTCACATCAACGGTGGAGCCCTCCATACCGTACAAAAAGGAACTCCGTACACGGCGATCGCACCTGTTGAGCTTCCGCGTCAACGGCACCAATGGGCTCTCGTAGAAAGATCGATCCGTCCAGAAGTGCTTGCGGGCAGCAGCGAAAC